GGGGCACTCACCGATCTTCTCCATCACGATTTTCATCAGCCCGTCCCTCTCCTTCTGCTTCTCGAAGAGCAGCTCGGTCCGGGCTTTCCAGAGCATGTACTCATCAGCTTTCACCATGAGCCCCAGGGAGCTGCGTCTCCGGGCAGCTTGTGGTGGTCCCGACACTTCCTCTGGCATGTGCATGCCCAGGTAGCGGGGCAGGAGGTGCAGGCACACCTGGGCACAGCGTCACCCGTGGGGACCTGACCCCCCCAAACACTGCCCAGGGCACACAGTGGGTGTGATCAGGTCCCCTTGCACTGCCTGGAGCATCCCTATGGTGTACCCTTGTGCCACCGGGATGTTGGGGTGTTGGCATCCACTGCTCTCCAGTGTTTGGAGTGGCTTGGAGGGGTTTGGTGGCACAGTGTGCTTCCTTGGGGACGTCTTAGGGGTCCCTCTTTGTGCCAGGACTTGCACTGAGATGCAAGGGACATGGCCTTGATCCCCATATAACCACCCCATTCCTCATGTATAAGGGGTAAGGGTACAATGGTGGGTACCTGGCGCACTCTCTGGGACATGGAGTGAGTGTTGGGTGTTCTCAGTGAGATGTTGAGGACGATGACAGCGTTCACCACGATCACCACTGTCACCACCATGAGGAAGGTCAGGTACCTGGGGAGGGAGCATGAGGCCTCACATGGAGCTGCTGAGCCACAAGCTATGGGCACGTAAAGTCCTTGGTGCCCTCCTGGGCTGGAAACTAAGGACCGGCAGTGGGACATGGGCACATGGTAGCCCTATGCCAGCCCTGCCTGGGCTGAGGGTTATTTCTGGGCCAGGGTCCTGTCCCTGGGCACTGGCTGCTGCATGGCACCCAGAGACCCCACTGGCATGGTATGGCAGCAGGGCTGGCACTGCCATCCCTGTGCATCACTTACTTCCCGATGAGAGGCACGGCTTGGGAGGTCTCGGGCACCTTCTGGGCAATGAGGAAGAGGAAGACAGTCTGGGCCAGGAGGACATTGATGGAGACAGTGCATTTCTGCCCACCGGCTGCCAAGGAGGGAGGGAAGGCAGAGGTTGGCAGAGGGCAGTGGTGTGGGCATTGCCCTCCTTTGGCAAAACGCCCCCACCGCAAAGCTGAACCAGCCAAGTCTTGCCATGGGGCTTTAACCGTGAGGCACCTGGAAATTCACACCCCCACCCCCTCAAATATGACAGGAGTGGGTGAGAGATGGCACTGATGGTCCCCAAGCACAAGGGGACAATGAGCCCTACCTTGCCTGTCACTACCCCCCTTACACATCCCTGTGCCCCCTGTGGGCATGGCACCAGTGAGTACCTTTGGCAGGTAGAAAGTAGACCAGCACGGCCATGGCAGAGATGAGGACGCAGGGCACGATGATGTTGATGATGTAGAAGAGCGGCTTGCGCTGGATGATGAGGTAGAAGATGACCTGCTGGTACTGAATGTCGTCTGGGGTGAACTGCTCCGAATTGATGATCTTCCGAGCGGGGCGGTGCTTGATGGCCCATTCACCGTTCTCTGCCGTGTGGTGATGCCACCTGAGTCCCACTGCCCCACCAGGGGCACCAGGGCTGCCAGCACCTCAGCCGGGGGCAGAGAGGAAGGGGAGGGGAGGGCTGGTGCTCAGTGTGGACCCCGCGGGGCGCCCAGGCTGGGCATGGAGCGGGGAAAGGTGCTAGAGCTGCTGGGGAGGGAGATGACCACCATGAAGTGTACCAAGGTGCCTGGGCAAAATACCCCGAAAAGGTGTTGGAGGGGGCAGCTGGGGACTTATGAGGCGCCTCGAGCCCCTTGGGTGTTACGTGGGGGGCTGGGTTCCCTCCGTCTCCCTGTCCCCAGGGCGCCGCAGGGGGAAGCCGAGCGTGACGCTGGGTGACGGCGTGCTGTTTTCCCCTGCCGTCTGCGGGAGCGATAGATTTTTCCCAATCAAGATCGCAGCTCGGGCCGGTAATGAAAAAATAAATCTCGCTGCCCGAAAAGCATTTTGTTCCTTCAATATGCAATTAAAATGTGATGGAAAACGTCATCGTTTGGCCGTGACAGCTACGTTCCCAGCATCAATCAAGCTCTCAGGAGCGGTGCTCTCCAAGAGCGGCTGCCAGGCGGTGAGAGCCCTGAGCTGGGGGGGATAGAAAAACAAATCTCCCCCACACTCCCGCTTCCACTAATAACTTAAGTGCACAGGTAATGGCAGGAGCTGCTAATAGCCCCCACAGCCCCGTGTTTGGCAGCCACCGGTGTAGAACCAGACTTGTTGGGTGTCCCCCGTGGTGGGTCTTGTGCCACAGTAACTGCCACGGTGTTACCTGTGAAAGCCTCAGGGTCGATGGAGATCCACTCCACGGTCTGGCCTTCCTCCACGGTCAGCAGCAGGTTGATTTCGTTGGCACTGTAGGTCTGGGACCTGGGGAGAGAAGGAAGGGTGGCACAGGCTGGCATGAACCAGGTCATGCCACCCACCTCCTGCTTTGGGGTGCTTGGCTTGGCCAAGGCGCCTCCTGCCACCGATGGGGTGCCAGGGGACATGTAGGTGGCACTTGTCTGCCCTGGGGCTCATTGCCCTGGGACAAAGGTGGACATCCCGTGTCAGTCCCTTGTGTCCCAGCAGGACCTGCCAAATGGTCCCAGCCATGGTGCCCATGCATGCCCAGCTGGTGCTCACTGGAAGACCATGGTGCAGTTCTGCCAGTCGAAGGGGAAATAGGTGACATGGATGGAGCAGACGCTGCGGTAGATGGCAGGGGGCAGCCAGTAGATGCTGCCATCAGGTGACACCAGCACGTTGGTGTAGAGGGTGATTTCAAACGTCCCATCGATGCTGGGGGGGAACGAGTGGGCTCAGCCCCAAACCGAGCCCAAGGGGGCAGCTGCCACCCCCTGTGCAAGGGTATGTCCCCATTGCCCCATCACCTACTTGTTCTCCAGGACAATGTCGGGCAGCCAGACCATAGTGGAGGGCACCCGCAGGAGCTGGATGTTGTCGTATTTCTCAGGGTCCCACCGCAGGCGATAATCAGACCATTGCTGGGGGAAGGGGAGCAAAGAGGGGGAGTGTCACGGTGCTCCCTATGGCAGGGGAGCTTGTGGGGTGTCTGTCCCATGCTGCCCTCAAAACGGGCTCAGTTGGGGGCACCCACAAAACGGGGTGCAGGTTATGGTGCCAGTCCTCCACGGAGCACCACCCTGAGACGCAAATGTGGCCTGGGGGGGTCCTGCCTGGAGGTAAGGGCTCTCACCATCTCGATCCAGACGTTGGTGGTGAGGGTCTCCTCCCGCTCGTTCTGGCAAGGAAGGGAGGGGGGAGATATTTTTAGCACCCTGCCCACTCCTGCCCGCTGCCCCACGTGTGGGGTCAAATCCCATCCCACTATGGGGACCGGGGAGGGGGGGTGTGCGTCTCTCACCAGGGAGATGAGATTGGTGAGGGTGAGCTTGAGGGTGACATCGATGATCTGGTCCCCACGCACGGCCGGGCGCAGGTGCCGGTTGTAGTTGGTCATGAGGTCCTGGAGCAGCTTCTCCTCCTGGTTCCTGCAGCTCACGCCTGGGGAGGGCACGTGCTGCAAGGGCACCCTGGGGTGGGGACGGCAGGGCCACCGATGCCCCGGGGACTTGCCGGCATGGGAGGGGGCACGAGGTGTGCATGGCAGGGGGGGTGCCCATGTGTGTGTTACTGTGGGTGTGCACACACGGCTGTGGTGCCTGATGGTGTGTATCAGCGTCCCAGCACGCAAGTGGCGAGGGCGGGGGGAGAGGGTGAGTGTCCCTCACACATCCCCCACCCCACTCACCCCCAGGGACCTCCCCAGGGCAGGACGCTGGGACAGGAGGCTGCCAGCATGGAGACACCCTGGTGGGATGGTGCATGGCGCTCTACACCCATGAGTGACAAACCCCCAAGAGCAAGGCCAAGGGGTGACCGGGTGCCCCCCCCCCCACCCGGTGGCGGACACCCCTTACCTGCCAGGGCACAGAGCGCGAGGAGGAGGCCGTGGCAGCGCATGGCAGCGGTGCAGGGACCAGGGCTCCACTCGGCCGCCCGCACGGCGATGTTCTGGGCCTGGCGCCCGGTGGGACAGGACAGCTGTCCCCCGCCACCGTCAGCTGTTCCTAACAGCCATGGGCTGGGGAGGGACGGGTGACCACCCGTGCCCCCGCCCCCGCTGGCGGGGTGGTGCCGGTTTGCTGCGAAGCTCCTCTGACATTTTGTGCCAGGGGGGTTGGAATTGGGTCTGGGGACAAAATGAGCTCTGTGCCTCAGTTTCCCCATGTCCCCCACAGAGGGATGCGTCTCCCCACAGAGGAAACCAGGTACCCACAGGTTATGGAAAAGGGGTGTCCCCCTCAGAAGCACCCCCAGCTATGTCCCTGTCGTTCCCCCCCCATGGTGGTGGCTGCCCCTGGGGCGCAGGGTAGGGAAGGGGCAGGCAAGTCCCACCACTTCAGCCTTGGCGGTACAAATC